GTAGGAAATCAAAGGAAAAACTTTTAAGTGGAAGGTTGCCAATGTAACTCCATAATCCAGTGCGCTTAAATTATTTATTAGCAGAGGATCTATTTAAATATTCACCTGATTTCAAGCAGTTCTGTTCTGCTAAAATTTCCTACAACAGGATTATCTAATTAAAAGAATATATAATGACACTTTGTCTAGTCATTCATGATGCGAAGCCCACATCACACTTATAGGGACAATCTCCATAAACTACTGTGGTTGCCCGACCCTAACCCAAATTAGAGCCTGGTTTTAAAGGACAAAACAAAGATTGGCATTCGAAAGTGACCTGAGTAAAAGAAAAACAAACATTATATAATCCTATTCCGTCAGGAAAATTTAACAAAGTCTTGCTCAAACTCAACTTATCTAAAGAAGCTATAAATTTATTTGGCATTAGCAAATGAACAAAAAAGTATAGACTCGTATATGATAATAAAAAGAACAATAAACAGAAAAAGACAAAATAAGTTTACATTAAAAAAGAAACAAATACTTCCTCAGCCTGTTTACCGTACTAGCTGCTGATTATAGTGTGTCTTTCTTTTTTCTTGTCTACAGCAAGCTTTGCATTTCTCACTGCTGCCTCACTCGCAGCTGCTTGTGCAGCAGTGTCCATCACCTTAATCGATTTTTTCTTCTTGGAAGAGGTGACTTTCTTTAACCTCTCTTTAACATCAATGGCAGAAACATATTCTGTCTTCTCTCTGCCAGAAGTTTCAGACTTCAAACTTCCAACATCCACGCCGTCAGAGTGGCCTTGCCATTCTTTCTGTTCTTTTGAAGCTTTATCCTTTTTTTTCTTCTTTCTTGCACTTCTGCTTTCCCCACAAACATTCTCCTTTACCACTGCACCATTTTGATAATCTTTTTTCTCCAGACCTGCACTTCAGAAAAGGTCAGATAAATAAAAAAATCCTAGTAAAACAATTTCATGAACAAATTGATAGGGACTTTGGTATTATGGGGATATACATGGGATGATCGGTGGGTATTTAAGCGTTTGTTTCTCCCCTCCTCCCCCTTGACAATTAGCTTTTTATGAGGTGGGTCCCTACGTGCTTGTGTGTTTATTAATTGGTATCAGTGCAGATTCTCTCAATTTCTCGGAAAGGGTTATGACTGATAGAGGATTTTAACCAAAAAGAAAGTTGAGTCTTATTGGGATTCCTAAGTCTGATCTCAAGTAATATGGTATGCGTGGTATAATACTAAGTGTTTGGTTCTGCCCCTTGTCACAAATAGTCATAGCAGGACTACGATAATTCTTCTGGCACAGTCGCATATGAAAAGAGTGAATTCACGCTTGTTTGATCAAGAGTTAAATCCACTAGTTTAACAGGTAACACTGTGGTAGCAATCTATCATTGAAAATGATTGATTCCAGAATTAATCATCCTAAAGTAATAGGAACATAAATAATGCAGGACACATCAAAAGGGTCATCAAAGATAGATGGAATAGCCAATAAGATAAATATCACTCCCACATATTGCATGAAAATTGAATGACAACTGCAAACATAAATAAAAATTTTAAGCTATGAAGAAATATCAAGTATAATTCTGAAAAACTTGCACTTGAATTTGGAGAAAATTTATATGGAACCAAGAATCAAATTTCATTTGGATGAACAAAATTATAAAATTTGCCTTACGAATGTCTAACGAGATATTACATTGCCATTGGAATTGTCATGGTCACTGGGTTCTCTTGAAGTATTAGCTCAGCCAATACAGCTTCAAGTTCGTCAAGCCCTTTCTTCTTCAACTCCTTTTTAGAAAGTTGTCTTTTAGTTTCTTTGGTGGCTAATGAGGGTTAAGCAGGCTTCTCAACAACAGGTTTAGCATCCACTAGCACCTCCAAGTCACTTTCATGTTCGCCCTCGGAATTATCACTTTCATGTTGGCGTAGTAATCGTCGTCGTCATCGTCGTCGACGTCGGCTCAGGACTTGGGCGTGAGAGGAGGAACGGGGCCAGAAAACGTCATTTTTGTGGGCCTCTTGGGTTCTTGCTGGGCTTGTTATTTTTCTTCTTTAGGCGAGCGCAGTGAAAATGTTGTTCGTTCGACACTCCCTCCTGCTCCTGTTGTTCATGACTACTTCCGCCTTTTGCAAAATTTCTTCCCTCGCCTTTTCGTTACCAATTAGTTCAAATAGAGGGTAAAACTGGAAAGTACAAATAGAATAGCATATTTTAGGGTTTTAGGAGGCTTAAAGAGATTTTTTCCCAGCTTACCATTATTTTAACATAAATTTTAACGCTTAACATTATTTTAACATAGATTTCCATATATAATATAATATTTACATCAGAAACCCACTTTGTTTAAAAGTTAAATATTTTGAGATTTTTGTTAGTAACAAATATTTTTAATAACATACTATTACATTTATAATTCAGAAATAATATTATCTATTCATATTTACCTAAATAGTATGATATTAAATTTATAATTCATAAATAATATCATTTCTGAATTTCCAATTCATTAATTAATATAATTTTTATTAAATATAATAATTAAATATAAATATATATATTTTATATAAAATAAATATATAAATATTATATATATATATATTTCAAAAAAAATTATTTATATAATTATATAAAATAAATATAAATATATTTTTTAAAATAACATAAAAATATATTTGTATAATTATATTATTAATATATTTTTATAAATATAGTAAAAATATATTAAAATTTAATAAAAATATTTATATACTTCTATAACAAATATTATTTTTACTTATTAAAATTATTTTATATTAAAAATATATTTAAATAATATATATAATTTATTTATGTAAAAATGTTATATAGAAAGATATAAATATATATTTATTAAATTTTATTATATTTATAAAAATATAAATAAATATTTAAATATTATATATATATATTCAATATATTTATTTTTATTATATTTATAAAAATATATTAGTAATATAATTATATAAAGAATTTTTTTAAAAAGAATATATATATATATATATAATATTTATATATATTTTTTATATAATATATATATATATATATATATTTATATGATATATATATATATATATATATATTTTATATGATATATATATATATAATATTTATATATTTTTTGTATAAAATATATATATATATATATATATATATTTAATTATTATATTTAATAAATATTATTTTATTTTTAAAATTATATTAATTAGTGAAGTTAGAATTCGACCTCCTAAAAATAGAATTTCAGAAAATTATACTATTAAGGTAAATATAGATAAATATTGATAGAATGATATTATTTTTATATTATAAATTTAATAGGATAAAATGATATTATTTTTATATTATAAATTTAATAGGATGTTAATAAAGAAAAAAATTGAAATATTTAACTTTTAATAAAAATATGTTTCTCGTGTAAATATTACGTACTGTATGTTATAAATATAAAAATTTATGTTAAAATAATGTTAAAGGTGGGAAAAAATCGCTTAAAGAGGATGATTTGGACGTTGCACCCGTACCTCTGGCGCCATATCATTGTTAAATAATAATAATTATTATTATTATTCAAAACACACACAATTACATTTATATATTATTAATTTTTTTAATTTAATTTAATTGTTCTAGCTTATTTCATATGAATCATGTTTTTTATTTTTACTTTTTTATCTTCCACTCTTAAGCGTTACACATTATTATTTTTTTAACTTTTTAAAACAAATAATATCACAATAACTATTTATTATAATAATTATATTTTTTTATAAAATTATTTTATTGATATGATCACATCTTTTATATTATTATTTTTTAAAATAATTATTTTATCTTAATATGTATCCCACTTTTATATATTCTTTCTCTACTTTTCATATATAAGATATTTCTTCTCTCTTTTTTTTCAAATACATAATATTATGATTTTTTTATATTATATATTTTTTCTTTATCAATAACATATTATAAAAAAATTATAAGCCATAATATCAAAATTATTTATATATCCTTATTTTTTTATAATTAATTAATTTTTTTCTCTCTACTTTTTAAATATACCAACATTTTTTTCTCCTAGATGTATCGTACTTTTTTTACTCTCTTCTTTATTTATTATTTTTTAAATATATAAATCATAATAATTATTTTTCATATTTCGTTTTATTTATATATATATATATATATATATATATATATATATATATACCAAAAATTATTAAGAACATAATGTCTTTTATATCTAATATAAATATAGATTATAAGAAGCATCAACACTAATATGTTTTAGTGTCTGATTATAAATATAAATTAAAATATTAAAAATAAAATTCTAATTTAAAAAATAGTTAAAAAATTAATTAGAATTTATAATTTAAAGAAATAAAAAAAGAAATAGATATAAAAAGGTTACCAAAATATTAAAAATAGAATTATAATTTAAATTAACAATATTTAAAAAATTAGGAAAATAGTTATATAATATAAAAGATAAAATTAGAAGGATTGGATAAAAAAATTACTCAATTTAATTTAGTTTTACTTTATATATATGATAAAAAAAGTATTTAAAAGATTCAATATAATAGAAAAGACAAGAAAAAAATGATCTTCTAAGAAGTTTAACTAAAATTTGTTACCTTGTTAAATATTTAATTTAGAAAATAATAAGTTTTAGGTTAATAAAAAAAAAAATAAACATATTAAAACTCTAAACTTTATATTTAATATACCAAAAGTCACTTGGGTCCCTCGAACTCTCACATGGTTAATTCAAGAATAGTTAATAGTGACACATACTAAAAATAAAAGCAAACGGGAAGTGTCCAAATCTGTGTATTAGAGATTAGAGTCCCAGGATCCTTCAAAATGTGATACATAAAGAAATTTACATGACATCCAACGCCTAAAACTGACAGAGAAATCAAATTTCTCCGAACAAAATTCAAAATACTCCATTATCTTTTAGCTATAACAAAATCATGCAAAAAAAAAGGACCTCCAGTGCTTTCTTTAGGATGCCTAGAATTCCTTCATGCAGTAGCAAAGATGAACTGCGAGCTATCATCACAGGAAATTGGCAGCCTTTCTGTGATGGATCCTTCCGTGTTATGGTAGCAAAACCAGAGAAATCACAGTCCCACTTCTGTTGGTTATTTACTTGATAGTACATATTGAAGGCATAAGATGCATTCCCTTGGACACTAAGAATATTACAAGTAGAACCATAGCCAAGGGAAGTACAATCAGAAAAGGTACAAGCATAGTCAATGTAACTAGCCAAATCATTCAAATTAGTCACATCTGGATCCAAAATACACCACCTCTTTTCCAGGTACTTTATACCTTCCACAGGGACAAGGCCCTTGTCCTGGTGCTGGCCAGTTAAGTCTAATTCATACTTTGGCTTGCCATCAAACTCAAAAACCCCCCAATGCCTCTCAAAGTTCCCAGGAGCAACACTTTTAGTGTTCTCATCAATGAGGCTGAATAGGTACAGGTCAATTGTGCCTTTCCTTTTAGGGGTACCCTTGCCACTCAGAGCATGTTTAAGCAAACCAAAGTTGAACTTCCTTGCACTCTTGGCATTAGCATTCTTATCACCATCTGTTGGCCACCCAATTTCCCCAATTATAACCTTCATGTCAGGATATCCTGCCTTGTCTAAAGCCCACAGAAGAGTGTCAAGATTTGCATCAAACACATTGGTGTAAAGTGCCTTACCATCCCTAAGAGGACTGTTTTTTCCATCAAAAAATGCAAAATCAAAAGGGAAATCTTCGTTGCCATAAAGACTAAGGAAAGGGTAGATATTGACTGTAAAAGGTGCATTGTTTGCATACAAGAATTGGATTATTTCAATTGTGAGGTCTCGTACTTCAGGCCTGAAGTCACCAGCTGATGGCACTGGATTTGAATCAGGTGAATAGTAAATATCAGCATTGAATGGAACAGTGATTTTGACCTTTGAACTCACCCCGGCCTTATCAAGTGATGCCTGTATATTCTTTAGGGCTGGTAGCGTTTTCTTTGCAAAGGTACCATTATATGCTTTAAGGAAAGGCTCATTACCCACAGCAACGTACCTGCATAGTTATCATATATACATAGCAAGCATAAATCAGAGTGAGGAAAAGTTGAAGCACAAAAGAACAACTAGAATTCTGGTAAAAATTCAACAAAAACTACAACACATGAGCAACAAGGCAAAAAAGAAAGACTAGTATCATCTCCGATAAATAGAGTAACGCAGTAGAACCATCAGAAGAGCCAGAGTAATGTATATAGTTACAGTGGTACTTAACCTGATTTTTACGCCACCAGTGAACAAGTAACAGGTAACATTATCATAGACCCAAGAGTCTGCAGCTTTAGGACTGTTACTTATCTTCTCCAGCATGTTGTTGGGTATTGCAACCATGACTTGGATATCGGTGCCCATGAGAGCTTCCATAATCAACTCATCCGCGTCAAAGAGCTTCAATTTGGAGAACCCATTTTCCTTGAGCATTTTCACCACCTTCAAAGGTGGCAGTTGGTGGGTTGCCATGGTTCCCCAGTTCACGCCAACCCAAGCAGAGCCACTGGAAACCAAGGTTAAGAAGACAAGAAGGAATGTAACCGGATGCCTACAATTTGGATCCATTTCCCTCCGGATTATATGGGTTTAGCAGAAGGTTCGAGAATGAAAGATGGTGACCAAACAGAACCCCAAGATAAGTGGGAGTAGCCAAGTGGAAGAAAATGGAACCGAACTGTGTAATTGTAAGTAGCAGAATTTGCAAATATAGCTCAGTTTTTGTAGTGGGTGTGTTTTGGTGGCTTCGCCGAGATGAAAAAGGTGGGTTTTTATTTTTTATTTTATTTTTTCTACTAGACGCCTTCATGCTTTCCTGAAATAAAATCCATGATAACTTTACTTATTAATATTATAATTATAAAATGATTTAATTCAAATTTATTATTTTATTAATAAATAAAGTTGTTAATGGTTTTTTAGAAAGAAAAATATCATGAATATTAGTATCACATTTATTTTTACATGATCGATTATAAAATGATAGTGCATTATTAGATTTCTCCATAAACTAATGACAACATTATTATAAAAAAAATTAGGAATGTTATTTTTATATATATTATAATCTTTTAAATTAATTTTTTATTATAGTATTTGAGAGCAATAACTCGGAGTTGATATGGATTCTTATGGTTCCTTCATTCTTATTAATCTATGAGATTAAATTTTTTTTCTAAGCAATGATAGTCTTCTATGTGCCTATTTCTTTTATATTGTACATAGTTTACATCATAGGAACCTACAAAGTTAAAAGATTTTCAAATCTTAAAATAAATAACAAGGTTAGAAGTTTTTAATAGATAACGAAAAAATCATTTAATAATAGTTAAATAAACTTCACTCGGATCATATTAAAAATGTGCACATAAGCAAACATGATATATGATCAAAGTTGTGAAGTATGGAAGTGAACTTTTGATTGATAATGTTTTCCATGATTCCTCTTTTAATTTCAAATATATGGTTGGATGCATTGAAGTTTTGTATCCTAAACCCTATTTAACTTCAACTTTTTAATAAGTTCTTCTTATCTTGTCTATATATCTATCTATATATTGTTTGTAGAATATTTAATCTGACATTCCAAAAAGAACTTCAACTTTTCATTATACTTACCTCAAACTCATTATTTTACATTAACTTAGAAAATTTCTCAAAAGAATTTTAATAATGTAACTTTATGACCAAATCAAACTTAAACTTGATAAAAAAATCTTGTCGTCTCTTTATGGTGATATTTTTACTAAATCTTTTCACTAATTAAAAAAAATTAAAGTTTAATAAGTTAAGAAATAAAATAAATATATTTAATATTACAAATATTAATTGATCATAATTTTTTATACTAATAGTATTTAATTATGATATTATATTATTTTATTATAATATTATTGTATCTCGTTATTTAAATTTGTAATTAGTATCATTATTGTATTAATTGTTAGAATTAGTATCATTGTCTTAATGTTTAGGATTTAATTAGTATATCTTATATAATTGATATATTAACCTTTTGTAGGGGTTTTATCTTGTATAGTTGTTGTAGACATTTTGTTGTTAGAAACAAATACTAAATTTATGATTTTAATAATAATAAATATGATTAAGTTTTGAAGTATTTAATACGTGTGCTAAGTATGTAATAAGAAAAAAATTAATAATTTTAGATAAAACAACTGAGTTTTATATGTAGAATAATTATGTCTTATCAAATGAAAGTATGAATATGAAAAAAAGATATATATATATATATATATATATATATATATATATATATATATTATGTTGATTAAATTAGAATGTGAAAAATAAAGGGAATCACGTAAAAGAGTAAATGTGTAATTGTTAGAATTCAAATATTATCCTAAAATGAAAATATATTATAATAAGAATAAAATATTAATACAACAAATAATATTATAAGACTTTCTAAAGAAGGTGAAAAATATGCAAATATATCACATTTGTTCAAGATACATAGAAGGGAAATATTTTTCTCCAACCTTCATGTCTACTTATAAAGGAAACATAGGATATGCTGCAAAAACTTATAAAGAAAATATATTAAACAAAACAATTGAAGAATATCTAAATATACTAAAAGAAGATTTTATGTAAAAAAAAATATTAAAGAATTATCAAGAATAATATATTATTGAAGAAATGTTTCTATAAAATAATAAAGATTAAAAATTTTACAATCACGTCTTGAAACCTGTTAAAGGAGGAATTCACATACTAAAAAAAATCATAACATAACAACTATAATATTATTTCATTAATTCTTATTCTTTTTAATAAGTGTTTTATTTTAGAAGATTTAAGAGAGGAAAAATAATTATTATATTATTCATCTATTGAAGTAAATTCTTATTTAAGATTGTCTATTATTTCTTCCCTCTACGAGAGTTATTTTAGTATATATATATATATATATATATATATATATATATATATATATATATATATATATATATGTCACTATTATATCTTTTACCCAATGAGAGTGGAGCCAAGGGGCCTCTCGCCCTCTCCCCACAAAATTTTATATTTTTTAAAATGATATTATAATTTATATTTAAAATATATATATATATATATATATATATATATATATATATATATATTAATATTGGCCTCCCAAATTAACAAGTTGTTTCCACCTTTACACTTAGTAAAGTAAACATTTAATTAGAAGTGTAAATTGTTTATCCTCTCTATGAAAATTATTTTATAATTGTAATACTTGAAATCATCTTTATAACCTACCTTTTAAATGTTTTTAAAAAAAATTGAATGTTTCTATATTTTATTCATTATTTATTTATTTTTAAAATAACACTCTAAATTTTTAAAAAATTTAAATTAAAAAGAGCTTTATTCAAATCCTATTTCTAAAACTAACTAAGCTTTCACTTGTTACATGTCACCTATTAACAATTTGTATATTATCCCATTTCATATTGATTTGTCGTATGTTTAGTAATCAGGTATGTGATATATCCTTGTATTGCATATCATTTGTGTGTGTTTTTTCTTCGTACACGTGCCTACAATATTTTATAAAACTTTTATGTAAATTTCACACCAAGTAGGACAAACCTTGATGTAATCCTTGGTTCACAAAGTTGTTATGGAGGAGGAAATGGAAATAAGTTTTAACATAAAACTTTCAAAATCTTTTTTACATGTCATTATTGTTTAATACAAATGTCATTTGTAATATTAGAAAATATGGAATGCCTAATGGTAGATATACATGGCCTGATGCAGTTAATACATTTAACTTTTATATAGAATTTTAATCTGACCTATTCTTAAAAAAATACCATATAAGTTGTTTATTGGGAGAAAACCAAACATACCTACCATTGACAATAATTTTTTGGCCTTACTAAATTTACTAATTTTGTGTTCAATCCCTTTAAAAATTTTCTACCATAGTATTTCATGATAAATTTATTTGTATTTAGTCTTTGTCATTAAATTTCGTTACCTTAGTAATACTGAAATATATATCATAATATAAACCATCCAACTTAAAAAAAGAAAAATTGACACCCTAATTTTTTTTTACATCTAATTAACATTATTAAAATAATATTTTATTAATTGATAAAAAGAAAGTAAAATAAAATAAATAAATAATAATAAAAATCTGAATGTTTGATAAAACATGATGTATATAAATCCTATCCCATGTTTGTCCATCCATACAAAACTTGATGACAGTACTTGAAAAGTTATTTAAGTAAAAAAAAAAATGTAATTCACACTAAAATAATAAAATTGTAATAGTATAAACCAAATGCGATTTTTTTTACCACGAATTATAATAGAGTAAAATAATTTTATGAGAGACCAATAAAATTAGTAAATTTATTATAGACAAAGAATATTTTAATCTAAAATATCTTAGCTTTATTTTACATTAAGTATATTTTTATTCTTTAATAACCTATAATATTTTAATGTTATTATTTTATAATTTAAATTTTATATGTGTTTATTATTTAGTTAAAGAAGTAGATTATTTAACTTTGTCAAAATAAGTTTTCTAAATATTTATATTCCATATATTATAAAAATTGAAAAATACTACATATGTTATTAAACTAAAAAATAATTTATTTAATATATATTATATCTCTAATATAACACAAATAAACTATTAGTTAAATTCATAAGTAATTTAATTTTGATAAAAAAACAATTTTAGTTAATTATAAAAATAATACTAAAATTTATTATATAGTTATATGAAATATATAAAATATTTTACTCCGATTTTGCTGTGATGTTGGCAGTAATAATTTCAGTACCCGCAACGCTGATAAAATTTGGATTGAAAAAATTGAGAAGTGAAGTATATTTTAGTCTCTCTCAAAGGTTTTTACCATGATATTTCTTTTTATTAGACGTTTATGTGTAATATAAAATAATTTTAGTTTATTATTCAATATTAAGATAGTTATGGGAAAAATTAGCCAACTTTAACACAGTTTTTGATCGAATTTAAATACATAGAACACTACTTTCCGGATCGGAATCCTTTCTATCTGTTTTACTTTTTTTTTTTTAAGTTGATTTTGGAAACAAGATAATAAAAAGGCTCATTTTGAAGGGAGAAGAAAGAAAAACTGTGGGCAGATAAACCGCGGAAAGATCGTATTTTTCCTTGAAGTAAAAATATTTTTGTTTTGAATATGAATTGTTCTCGGTCATGGATCGACCCTTACAAATCCGTAGTGAAAAAATGTCTTCGAATTACGATAATTATTATCTGATAAGTTGAGGGTAGTTATAGAGAACATGGTTTTCTCTTCATTTCCCAGATACTTTACCATGAGGCCCCAAAGCTCCAAGGTTCAAGCCTTGTATGACCATTGCAAAACCATATTCTCACCCTCTGGAACACCCCCTCCTTCCCAAGCTTTCCAGAAGCTCACTTCGATTCTGGGTATGTCTCTTTTGTTGTTCTCAAAGTTCAACTTTGCAGTTTTCTCTCCGATCGTTCTCAACGTTCAGTGGGTCAAATTGGGCTTTTGGGGTGTTTTAAGTTGCGAGTGTTGGGACATTGTTGGGGTGAGTTAGCTCATTACGATTAAATTATAGCGTTATGGTTGGTTGGTTTTGATTTTCTAGATGTTGTTTTACATTATAATGCATGAAAGTTCTATGACTGGTTTGGTTTTAAAGAATGAGAATATACTCTAATTAATCTGCAGAGAGTAAAATCAACTATGAGGAAACATGGACGAAGTAAGAGCAATAACTTTAAAAATGTGAAAGCTGCGAACTTCATTGCAATTATCTATTAATCCAGGTTATTTTATTGCAGTGTGAGTATTTCTTTTTCTTTCAATTAATGATTAATCTAGGTTCTTTTACCGCTTGGAGAGGTCCAAGATGAATTGTGGAACAAAAATGTAGTTTTGGCCGTTTATATTTTTCGGGTTTTTTTTACTATGAAATCACGTATTAATGATTGCAAAACTGAAAAGGTTGTTTTGAAGAATTGATGTGTGGTGAATTTGGACTATTGCTGGATTTTGATGCCACTGATTTTGAGTAATCATTCAATGAATAGAGAATATAATATTGATAAATTGTTGTCATGTTTGATTTGTTTCGCGAAATGAATATTACTACTATTTTATTTGTGCATATTAAGAAGGTATTTATTGTTTCTGCACCATTCTGCAACTTGGCGATTTCCTATCAAAATCCAGATTATTTTTCATATCTTTTTGAACTTTGAAATGCAGATGCTGGGTTGCTTTGGATAATGGTATCTTGATTTTTTGTTAATTATTCGTGACTTGGCAGACACTATTCAACCTGCTGATGTTGGCCTTAAAGAAGAAACTTCAGATGATGATCGAGGGCATGGCATTTTTGGTGCTAATGTACTTAATAGAGTCGCTCGATGGGCTCAACCAATAACATATCTGGACATTCATGAATGTGATAGTTTTACGGTTAGCTTTATCACTTTCTTATGCACCACAGTAAGACTACTATTTGTATTAGCTCGGTGTTGTTGTATATCAAAGTCTTGGGGCTGACAAGTAGTTTGCTCTGCATCCAAGTAGGTCCATGATTCTACCACATCAAAGCCTAAAGGATGGATTGTTTATGTTAGGAAGAAAAAGAAATTAGAAAAGTAAGAAATGCTGAATAGGCAGGTTTGTTATGTAGAGAGAGGGGAAATTTGGTTACATAGTGCATAGGGTAGTGAGGAAATGAGGGTGATTACATTATTGCAAGTTTGCTAGGATAGGGATGCCATTGAGCTCTTTGAGGCTTTGGGAGATTACCCTTCTATTGCATAATTTATGTTTTCTCTACAAATAACACAAATCTTCTATTTCTTCCCATTTACTGTGTAAATTCACTGTTTGTTTATAATATGTGTCCGGTTTTCTATAATTTTTCTTGTCTTCGTGATTCGTGGCTATAACTGCGTTGTGGAGAGCCAAGAAGAAAAAACTGAATCCATTAGCCGTGTCCATGTCAACATTTTGTAGTCCTTATAACAAGAATCAGGCTCATACCAGATTTTACTAGTATGTTGAATGATTTAAACAAGTTAAGAGATTGTTGGTTTATCCATTTGCAAGTAGTTCATGAACATGTTGGCCAATTTCAACCCCTTCTTGGTAGCAATATGTTTTCATGTGCTTGTATGTTAGATGATTGTGGGTATGTCGGATGATTGAGATAAAGAGTTAAGATATCATTGCTTTTATCCATTTGTATTTGTTTATGATCATGTTGGCTAAGAGTTAAGAGATTGTTGTTTTTATCCATTTTCAAGTATTAACATGTTGGCCGATTTCAACCTCTTCTTGGTAGCAATATGTTTTTGTTGGGATTTGTTGAATATAGGGTTAATTTCCCTTATGTATTTACCACACATAGGGCAGTGTATTTATAATAAAGAAAGGTACTCCTCAAAAGAGTAACAGAATACAAATAGGGTAAATAAAAAGATATTATTTGATATTGTGATTAACAATATCTAACAATATCTCAACAATATCAAACAATATCAACTAATATCTAATCATATCTAACACTCCCCCTCAAGCTGAAGCATACAAATCGTATGTGCCTAGCTTGGTACAAAGATAATCCATCCTAGGTCCCCAGTAAAGACTTAGTGAAAATATCTGCTAATTGATCACATGAGTTAACGAACTCGATCTTGATGTCTCCGAGACATAATCTTTTCCGAATAAAATGGCGAGTCAATCTCAATGTGTTTAGTTCTCATGAAAGACAGGATTAGAGCTTATATGGAGAGCAGCCTGATTGTCACACACTAGTGTCATTTGAGTGACATCTCCAAATTGTAGCTCTTTAAGCAATTGCTTGAGCCAAATAAGTTCACGGGTAGCTGAGGTCATAGCTCTATACTGCGCTTCTGCACTGGATCTTGCCACGACACTTTGTTTCTTACTTTTCCATGAGATCAAGTTACCACCAATGGAAACACAATACCCGGATGTAGATCTTCTATCGAGAGGAGATCCTGCCCAATCGAGCATCCGAATAGCAGACAACTCTTGTATGATTATGGGAGTCATACACCAAACCTTTTCCAGGAGACTTTTTGATGTATTTCAATATACGGATGACTGCATTCCAATGATCTTGACAAGGAGAATTGAGGAATTGACACACCATACTGATCGCAAAGGAAATGTCGGGGCGAGTAAGCTGTAAGATAATTTAATTTTCCAACTAATCTTCTATACTTGTTCGGGATCTGACATTGGCTCCCCCTGATTTGGCAAGAGTTTGGTATTAGGATCCATGGGTGTGTCAACAGGCTTTGAATTCATCAACCCAGTTTCCTCCAAAATATCCAATGCATACTTTCTTTGAGATATAACAATGCCATCGGTAGATTGTGCTACCTCAATACCCAAGAAATATTTGAGTTTGCCAAGATCTTTGGTTTGAAAATGGTGGCAAATGTGTTGTTTCATCCGAGAGATGCCATGATGGTCACTACCTGTAAGAACAATGTCATCGACATACACTTATCAAATAGATACATCCGAGCATTCGAGTGACGGTAAAAGGCTGAGTGGTCTCGCCTCACTTCTAGTCATGCCAAATTGTTGAACAACGTCGCTAAATTTTCCAAACCAGGCCCTAGGAGACTGTTTTAGGCCATATAAAGATTTGCGAAGACGACATACCAATCCAGAAGACTCCCTTGAGCAACAAAGCCGGAGGTTGCTCCATATAAATCTCTTCTTGCAAATCGCCATTCAAGAAAGCATTTTTGACATCCGAGTTGATAAAGAGGCCATTGTTGAATAGCGACCATGGCAATGAATAAGCGAACAGAAGCCATCTTTGCCATCTGGAGAGAAAGTATCACCATAATCCAACCCAAAAATTTGGGTATAGCCTTTGGCTACAAGGCGAGCTTTGAGGCGATCAATAGTACCATCAGGACCAACCTTGATAGCGAAGACCCACCTGCAACCAACAACAGATTTTCCGAGATGGTAATGGGACAAGCGTCCAGGTTCCACTAGTCCGAAGAGCACCGAGTTCATCTAGCATGGCCTGACGCCAACCGGGGTGGGCTAAGGCTTCGAGAGCAGATTTAGGAATAGACACGGAAGAAATAGACGAGAGACAGGTATAAAATGGTGAAGAAATTCGATGATAACTTAAAGCGGTATAATGTGGAGAAGGATTACGAGTAGAACGCGTACCTTTACGAAGGGCAATAGGAAGGTCGGACTACGTGGACGGAGCCGGAGGAGGCGAGTATTTGGCACTGGGAGTGAGTCATGTGGCGTACTGTTGTGGGCGAGGTCTGCGACTATAAACCTGAAGGGGTGGTGGAGGAGGAGGGGCTAATGGTGGATGGTCCTCGACATAAGGATCAATGAGAACAGGGAATGAGAAGCTGTAGCGAGATGGAGACTCGGCAGGTAGGGAAGAGTCCTTAAAGTAAAAGAAACACTCATTGAAGGTGACATCGGCGAGACACAAAATAGTGATTAAGAGAAGGAGAAAAACACTTGTATCCTTTTTGGGATCGAGTAAATCCTAAGAAAACACATTTGTGTGATCGAGGAGATAACTTATCATGACCAGGATCAAAATTGTGGACAAAACAGGTAGACCCAAAAACCTTCGGAGGTAAAGGATGGAGAGTGTCATGAGGAAATAAAATAGAATGGGGAATTTTGTTATCTAAAACCGAAGAGGGCATACGATTAATAAGATAACGAGCAGTAAGAACGACATCACCCCAAAAATGTTGAGGAACCTCACCATGAATTAAAAGAGTACGGGTTGTTTCAATAAGGTGTCTATTCTTGCGCTCGACCACCCCATTTTGTTGAGGGGTATAAGCACGGAAGTTTGATGAAGAATGCCATGAGAAGCCATAAATTGTTTAAATGAGTTTGAAAGATATTCACGACCATTATCACTTCGAAAAGTTTGAATAGAGACACCAAATTGATTTTTAATTTCATGATAAAAGTTTTGGAATATAGAAAACAACTTCAGAACGATTTTTCATTAAAAATAACCAAGTACAACGAGAGAAATCATCAATAAAAGTAACAAAATATTGAAAACCTAAATTAGACTTAACACGACTGGGTCCCCAAATGTCGAGTGAACTAAGGCAAAGGGGGATGAAGCACGCTTGGGAAACACTACGAGAAAAGGAAGTACGACTATGTTTGCCTAGCTGACGGGACTCACACACCAAATTGGACAAGCTAGGATAAGGCTGGGAACAAGTTCTCTGTAATTTGCGTAGACTAGGGTGACCAAGCTGAGCATGAAGGAGAGAAGGAGACTCCATAAGCTGTGCCAACATGTGGAGAAGGTTGAAGATAATAAAGTCCATGTGACTCACATCTGGTGCCAATCACTCTTTGCGAGCTCCGGTCCTGTAGGGAAACAGAAGTTTTGGTAAAAGAGATAACACAATCAAGAGATCGAGTTAGACGGCTAATGGATAATAAGTTAAAGGGGGACCCGGGTACATACAAAACATTATCAATGGACAACGAGGGAAAAAGAGTAATCGTTCCAATACCATGAGCTAAAGTTGTAGACCCATTAGCCATTGTAACAGAGGGTAAATTATGAGAAGAAGTGAAAGAGGAAAATAAGGATTTGTTACCAGTGATGTGATCGGTGGCGCCTGAGTCAAGAACCCAAGGGCCAATAGAAGAAGAGTGAGTCAGACTAGCAAAAGATGTACCTGTGTGGGCAACGAAGTAGTGGAGCTGGAGGGCTTTCGATCCTCATACCATTGAAGAAAATCATTGAAGATAGCGGATTTGTGCGAAGGTACGAGACGAAGGAGGATCCACAGCGAGAGGATTGTGCGGAAGAATCGATCCCGAGCAAGCTGCGAGCAAATCGGCGAGGATAACCATGTAAAGCATAACATTTGTCAATTTTGTGGCCTAGTTTGCCACAATGGTCACACTTGACACGCCCTTTGTCCGGCTTGTGAGAGCGATTACGATCATCACGGTGAGAGGCCAAGGCGAGATGAATCATTAGAAGCTACGGGGGAATATTGAGAGGTTTACATGGCACCCGCAAAAGGGAGGAAGCTGGTAGCGGTAAAGCTGGGTGTAACGGGGAACCCAAAATCCGGTCACGAACGAGGGCATATTTATCGAGCAAGTCAGTGTAACATCAAAACCATGAAAAACTTTGATCGTTGCTCTAATTCTTGGGCAGGAGTCGAGGCAGGGGGTAATAACTCATTAAATTCATGGAGAAGAGCATGGATCTTACCCACATAATCCGCCACATGATCCTTATCTCGAGGAGCAATAACATCAAGAAGATTGTAACAAACACCATAAAGACGTTGAGTGTCATTGGTGTATAATAATTTGGCTTGTTCCCAAACGTCATAACATGTGCCATACGATCGAAAAATTTGTTTTAAAGAAGATTGGATGGTATTCTTGAGAACCATACATATATGAGCATCAACTTTCTTCCAACGGACACGATCATTGGAAGGAACATCATCTACCTTGGTAGTAAGATGATCAACA